AAATACCAGCAATTGACTACACGCCTAAAATAACAGCTAAAACCACTCTTCATAAGTATCTATCGGAAATTTAGTCAATCATCAACAAAAAAACAAACGGAGTGAAGAATAAGACTGGCATTTAAGTTTCATTTGGAGTGCAATGAAGGCATAATGGGTGATACAAGTTCTTCCCCATGTTGATATATTCATTCGATGAACTTCTGTTGCTGTACATCATCTTTACTCAAAAGAGCAAGCAATTAGTAGCCCAAGGATCATGCTCAGAATCATGATTGAAGGCAATGATAGGAATACTAATTCCTAGAGGAAAAAGGGGTCCATTTCGATGAGCTCTTCTTATTCCACGAAATTCATTAATCGATAACTTACATATATGGGTCTGTGCAGCATTTCCACGATATCTTTATGATCAATTAATGGGAGCCCAGTGATCACAGGTCCGGGGACAGGGTACTCAGTTGTGGAAGGGAACTGCCTCATGAAATAGAGATGGCCCGGACCCAAGATTCGGATGGATTGGATGCTTGGATATATGCAGTTATATAAGCTATCACTTTTGCAATTAAAAATCAGCTCATCGAAGGACCAGAGCGGATAGAAGGCAAGTAAGACGTAACAGCAGGGCTATAACCAGCAACTGAAGGTTGATTCAGATAGATACCACGATGGGAGAAGAACATCATCAAGTTCCTTTTTTCCGGGAAACTAACCGCTTCGGAGAAATCCTGGTCGAATAACTTGGATACAACCCTCTCAAGAAACACGATCGGCCACCTATCCACCCCTCGAAAATACCCTGATAATGAAAGTCAACACCCTTCGAATGGTAGGTCAATGTCCAGGGGCTGCTTTCCCTATGTCATAGTCCGAATTTTGATCTTGACATGTCGGTGGTTTTTAACCGTAGGCATTTTGCCAGCCCCGCTCAACAAGGGGCCCCTCTCTGATAAAGAAAACGAAAGAATCTCAGCTCATGCCCTGACGAGGAATCTAGACTAGAGAGGAATATAGAACATCAAATCGTGAATGAAAAAGAAAAAGCATGAGGAGAATTGTTGATTCCATAGGTACATGGGCATGCCTGTTGGGGCTTTTAAAAATTGATCTTCCCAGTAGTTCATATAGGAGCTATAGCCGTTTCATTCCTATTCGTTGTTATGATATTCCGGCAAAGTCTGGGCTAGACATTGCTCTACTTGATACTTATTATGTGGTTCTCTCTTCCCAAAAGGGTAATTTCAAATCTTTCTTCAAGATAAATTGATGCTCCTCGGTTCTCATTCCTTCTATAAATCATTTACCCATTCATCCAAGATCAGTTCAACCATATCTATTTTGGGTTGCCCCAAAAATGCAACGTTCCCTTCAAGATATCTATGACGTCTATCTTGGTCTACAAGTTCTTTCACTTTTGTAGCGACATTTTAAACATTTAATAACTAGTCAAAAGACTCACTAAAATGTGTCGAAGTCCCACATCGACAGGCAATGGGAGGCAAAAGAAAGAGAAATTAGAAATAAAATGGTGGGGGTGGCCATGTTAAAAAGCATCTTTGCGCTTGGGGCAATGACGTAGCTAATGAGGTACTAACCGAGGCACGTCAATTGCTAGTTGAAAACTATTTCCAAACCCCCTCCTTGGCTTGGGTTCTGCCTTGGCCGTCGAGAATTTCTGGAAGGTTTCCTTTTGGGATAAACCCTACAATTTTCCAGTTGACAAACTTTTGCTAATTGCTTTAGTCAAACCTATCCGGTTTTTTCTTGTGACTCGAGGAGTAGCGTGCTTATCAAAATGTTGGAAGTACTTTTCACATCAAAATGTTGGAAGTACTTTTCACATTTCAAAATGTGATTCCTCTTAGCAGGAAAAGGTCAGTCTAGTCGCAAAAGGCTTTGGCTTTACTCAAAAGAAAGACTTGATCCAAGGAACTATACAAGTATGGTGGGAGGCCTAATGTCTTTCACGTTGACCCGGCCCGACATGACGTTTGCTGTGAATCAAGTCTTTCAGTTTATGCATGCTCCTCGACAAGCACACATTTCAAAATACTCTTTTTTGGATGAAAAGTAAACAACTAGTTTCATGTCTTCAGGCACTAGAGGTCTTAATAAGTCATGTCAGTTTATCGAAAATTGCAACTCCTGAAACTATAATTTAACGCTGAAAGTTAAGAAATAGACATGAGAGGCACGAGCACGAAGGAACAGTTGTCCTAGTGACCAGTGTAGGTTTATTATATATCCTTGGAACAGCACTTATCAATTTATTTCTACCACCGCAAACAGAATGCTAATTAAAGCTTTGTACTCAGAATTCAAATCAAGTAAACACAAAAATGCATCAAGTTCTCCCAATCCAACTCATAAAATAAACACAAATTGGTTAATAAAAATGATATCTACTCCAGATATAACCGAGTCCAATGATCAATTTCGTAAACTAACAAATCAATCTGGCATTTGAAATAGATAAATAAGAACAAATTCAAGCAATGATAAAGTAAAGATATGAAGGTAAAAAGTAGTAAAATACCTGGAAAGTGAATCCGACAACTGCATTTAGAGAAACCGCCATGGATTCAGGCATCGAGCTTTTACGTTCCAACCATTAAACAGACTCGGCAAAGGAGAGATAAAAGGAAACCAACAAATCCGTGGCGGTAAAAATAGATCCGTGGTGGTTAAAGATCAGAAATTGCTAGTTGCCGTATCTTTGCGTCTATGGCCCCTATACTTTAGCTAAATTACATATGTGGTCTATATGTTCAAAACCTTCGCATAAAAGGATCTCTCGCAATATCAAATTCTTTTGGAATTGTCTATGCGGCTTAGGGGTTGTTTGTTTACCTTTTAATAGTTTCATTAAGAGGCATCATCTGAATCGTTAATAGGTGAATCTTGTTTGACAAAAAAAAAAGTATGTCTCTAAATAGTTTTAAAACCCTATGAATGATTTTGTATCATGGATCTCTCTGAACCATTAAGAGCCCTAATTTTATTGTACACAACAAACAAACAATTATATTTCATTTTTAACTATATCATGAGAGCCTCTTAATCATTCTGACAAGTTAATCATTCTACACCAAATCATTCAACAATTGTCAAACAACTCCTTAACCTACAATAAAAAGTTGAATTTCTTTTCGGAATGAATGAAAGATGACGTCATCTATCTACCCTTGGGACACACGACTTACCCACCCTACTTTACAAAGTTGAACAAACAGTTCAACCATTGTTGGAATAATATATTGTAATCAAATAAAATTGCATGGTCTAGGTTTTTATAAATAAATATATATTTTTAACGAATATAATTTATGAGAATTGTTGGGGCTTGAACTTGATTAGGGGCCGTTTACCAAACACTTACCCGGTAAGTGTTTACCGGTAAAATTTAACACTATGATTTACTTGGCGGGTAAGATTTCAATCCACCAAAACGACATCGTATGCAACAATTTACCCGGTAAGCGCTTACCGTGGTAAGAGCCGTCGCCCTCACTTACCGGGTAAGACTCTTGGTCATTGTCTCGCTCTTATCGGGTAAGATTCTTGGTCTTTACCATATTCATCCGGTGAGGTAATGGTACTTGGTAAGCGATTATCCGAGTAAGCGTTTGGTAAACGGCCCTAAATCAATTTATTGTGAAGTTGATTTTGTAATAACTGTGATTTTGCTTCCACAATGATTTATTTGATTGTTAAAGTAAAGTTTACAAACCCGTTTTATTTGAAGTAATTTAATTGCATCCAAAGTTTATGGCTCCAAACATGTAGAATCTCCGATTGTTTTGATGCCTCGTGGGACAACTAATGATCAAATGCAACATTTTAAGGCTTAGGTAAGGACGAGTAGTTTAAAATGCAGAAATTAGAAGAGGTACGAAAATGGTAGTTAATTTTGTTAGTAACAAAAGGCGTTTGTGTTTCCTAACAAGGGCTTCTTATGACACGCTCATGTGCATATTACCTTAACTTTTTTTTTTTAAATTAGAATCTACTACAGTTTCACAATTTAACTCTTTTACTTTAGAAATTTCTCGCTTATGCCTTGAATCAAAACTTTTTATACGATTAAATATATTGTTGATTCTATAAATATAAAACATTTGATATGATTTTTTGGAGACATAGTAGGGTAGTAGATTTAAGGAGGGCACCTGTACCTATAGTATAATAAGAAGACGAGAGTGAGGGAAAATGAAAACAATTCGAAATACCTCGACTTTTTGAGATTTATGAATGGTGATGTGGCATGTCAGTAAAATGAAATGACAATTTTATAGAACTCGTAACAGTTTCATGACTGAAGATGCTCTCAGATGGACAGATTGTGCGTTTCTCAGCTCTCTATATGTTCCTTTGTGACTTTTTTTTCCTTTTCTTTATGGTTCTTACTATTTGCAAGTCTTTTTTCCTTACCCTTTTCTTTTTCTTTTCGTTCACACTTTTATACAAGTCAAGGGTTATCAAGTAAACGATCATTCTACTATTTAGGGTAGGGGTCTGCCACCCTTTACAAATAAAAATCACATGTGCCGAATTCTCAATTCATGTTCATCAATCATATGAATACATGTAAATAGAGAAAGAAAGTAAACACAAAATTAAATAAATTTAAAATAAATAAAAATCTAATATTTGTTAATTTCATTGGTGGATAGGAATGAAATGTATGATTTTGAGACTGGTTAACTTTATTCAAACAAATCCTACTCAAAAACAATATAATACTAGGTTAGGTTTGTTTGGTTTAAACTTTAAAGCATTTCATCAGCACGAAGAGGCCATGACCTCAAAGGCTTGTTCGTACGCAAAGGATGCCAAAACTATCAAAGTGGGCCGAGAAGCTGATTGTGTTCATAAAGTGAAGAACAAGGCTAAAAAACATCTCGAAGGCAGGATAATAACCAACCCTAGCTACAAGAAAGGAAGTTCACATAAATGTTTTAGGTTTACAAATATCATATTGCAAAATAAAATCAAAAGAATGAGAAATAAACTCCAAAAGAAAACAGATGCTATTGAAGTCTCGAGAGAAAATACATGAAGTAGTCGAGAGAGAGCATACAAGAAGTAGCATATACATCCTATCGAACCCCTTTGTTTTGGTACACAATACATATAATTGTACTCATCACGCTGCCCTACCAGCTGCAAAAAAATGCCTCAGCTACGGCTACCCAAAGAATATTACAAGAAAAACTTATCCACACATCAACTTCGTTATTCTTTAATTTCAACCTCAAGAATGGGAACGATGAAGAAAAGCACCAAGTGGAACCCATGTCGATTTGTCCTCTTCACCATATTAGCAAGTATTCACGAAATCAATAGGAGCCCATTTGTGGCATTCCAAATGGAGGCATTGGTGGCATTCCCATTCCACCCATTGGCGGTGGTGGTCCAGGTTGACCATATCCACCACCCATACCCGGTGGCGCAGGTAGAGCAAGTGGCAGTAGTTGGGCATACATATTCTGCAACCAATCAACGCAGTGTCATCAATACAGTTCTTTCATTAATTAATTACACAAAGCAAAAAACAAGACTGAAACAAGCAAAAACCTGCTGTTTGATGACATCCTGCTCTTCATTCTCCTTGGCTTTAGTCTCCTTCACTGCTTCTATCTTGTCCTTGATTAGTTCATCAACCTTGCCAGTATATTCACGGATAAACTGCAATAAAACGAAGAATGAGACTATTTTGATTCGAGACAATGAACATAAAAATCTAAGTTCCATCAGGAGTGAAGATGTGGTCAGTTTACCTGAAGCAGATATGGGAAGGCAAAGTCGATCATGTTGTTCAACCAGGCCAGCTCAAGAGCCACATCTGCGCGAATGAGATCATAACAAACAAAGAGACAGGAAGCAAAGCACTCTTTCTTTCCCTGCACAATCAAGTAAAAAGTAACCACTCAAAAACTTCAAAAGCGGTCATAACAATTACGAAAAGTGGGTAATAGCAAGAATAACTGAAAGTAACATACAATGTAAGTATAATTTGTAAAAGTAGTTCATACTGCCTTCATCCCAAAATAAGCGTCCACATTTCTATTTTGGTTCGTCCCAAACTAAGTGTTAGCTTTCAAAAATAAGTGCATACTTTCCAATTCTACCGTTAATTATGAGATGGAAAAATTCGTTACTCCTATTATTAAGGGTAAAATTGCCATTTAGTTAATTCAGAAGTGTAATAATCACACGTTATTAAAATTGTGTGCCTTTTTCATTGTGGACATTCATTCTTGGGACTGAGAGAGTATTCGGTAAAACAGGCATACCTGCTCAATGAAATAAACAAGCAGCTCTTCTGCAAGCTCACGATCCCCAGATTGTGAGGCAGTCTCCATGGCATCTTTGTACACCTTGTCTTTCTTCGACAATGTAATGGATTGCTTCCATCTACCTGCTTTCTTGTAGATATATGCAGCAACACGCCTCATCTCAAGAAGCTCATGTTTCTCAATCTGCCAGGGAGTAAACAATAAAAGAAATCAGTACAAGAAAAAAGGGAAGAAGTTTGAACCTTCAGCTGAGCCAACCTTTTGTGCAAGGCCAATCTGATCAAAGTTATCATGTAAATCAATAGATTCACGCAATCTATCATAGTCTTCCTCCTCAACATATATTTCATTCAGTGCCTCGTTTACAGCAGATACGTTATTGCTCTGAACTGCAACCATGTATGGTTTAACAAGATGAAGGTGTCCCGCCTGCATAAATGAAGTCAGAAACACGATATTAGGAACCTCAATTCGCATGGTTATGTAAGTTGAAAAATAAAAAATTAAGCTCCCTTACCTTACGCATTATGTCAACCACACGTGTATGGTCAACACGTAGTGCAAGGACATTGAGAACATCGTTGATAAGGTCGGGATGCTCTTGTAGGTAGAAGTGAACAGCCTTGTAATAGAGCTCCACATTCGCCACTTTAACTACAATATCCTTGAACTGCATATGATCCCAAGCATCTGGAGAATGATTCATGACAGTAGTTGCAGCATTATCAAACTCATCATATTGAATATACAAATAGGTAAGTTCCTTCCAGTGCTGTTGTTCATCACAAGCACGGATTAGCTTTGGGATGTTGAGGCGTGTCGAGAAAAGTTTAATATGCTCCATCAGCTTCTCATAACGGTATCTGGCATAAAGCACACCCAACTCGGTGAAGATGCCCATGTGAGCTCGCTCCAAACCTAGACCACTCTCCATGAGAGAGATAAGCTCATTGAAGCATCCTCTATTTTGGTAGTACTCACTCACCTCTTCCAGATCATCCACCTAAAATTCCAGAAACAAAGTACTTACCCTTGCCATTATTATAAAAAAGGAACATACACCATACAAAAAGACGTTCCGTGAAACAGCCTCAAAACTTGGTGTATTTTTTAAACTTATAACTTGCAAAAACCACATTCATGTGAGGTATTAAACCAATGATACCAAAGGGTCATTGGCCCACTGATGCCCAGGTTACCTGTAGAGCCCAGCCTCCCTGGAGATCAATGAAGCCTCACCAATTTCAAGAAGTGTGTATGAGTTTTGCAGTATATAAAATATTATATACTTCAACATATATATATATATATATGTATATATATATATATATGTATATATATATGTATATATATGTATATATATATATATATATATGTATATATCGGCTGAAGGATAAAAATTTCACCTGCACAATAATATTGAGACCACAGATCTGAGCCAAGCGGAACTCCTCAGCATCAACACAGGCAAAGCAAACTTCTTTCCATGTCTTTGCACTATTCGCTTTACGAGCGGCATCGACAGCACCTTGAAACTGTTGCAGCCTTACAAGTGTGACAGCAAGCTTCGCCCAGTTGGAGATGAAAGCGTATATTATCTTAGCAGCTTCATACAATGCTTCATCAAACAACCGATCACCAACATTTTGGAGGTTGGCAACATTCGGCATGAGGATGAACTCCTCAATGTCACTCAATCTATCAATCTTGGCATACGCATAGATGAGCTCACTGTCCACCTTGGACTCCTTGGTCTTCTGTCTCACCATCAGTAGATATTTCACCAAATCATGGTAGCACTCTGTGTCTTCAGAAGCACGGATTACATCCAAGAATTGGGTAGCATCATCGGCACGAATGAACGACTCTATCGCCTCACTCACTAGCCCGTCCCTGAGCTGGGCTTTGGCCACCTGACTCCAAACAGCATCTTCTTCAACACGGAAGGCAAACTCAACAGCCCGTGGAATACTTTGGATATTATCTAACAGAACATTAACGGCTTGCACATTCAAGTTGAACTTCTTGAATATTGCAAATGCCTCTTCATACAGTTGTGCTTCTACAGCCACCTCTCCAACAGCAGGTCCATCAAAGTTATCTAATCTATTGATGTAGTCCATCACTCGAGATGGATCAGCCTTGATGGCTGTCAAGATAAGCAGGTTTTGGAGGTTGAAGTTTCCACTGAAAGCGGAGTTCTGAAGGACAATTTTCTCAAGAAGCTCGATTAACTCGTGGGGAAGATCAGCAGTCATAAAAGCTTTAACAGCAGCAGAAACCTGCTCCGGGCTCTTGCTTTCAGGCAAAGCAGTTGAGACAACTTGATCAATGAGTTGCCTCCTGTATTCATTCTCAGGGTCAAGAACCTTCTCCCAGAGATCAGCATCCATCCTCTCCACAACATATCTAAAACAAAAATAGATATTAGTCCCAAAGAAACACCAGCCAATTCATCTGGGATGATAAATAACAAACCACAAGTCAAGTACCTGGCTTGCAGCTTGAACAGAGAATTCTTGTTTGTTACATTGACAAGTTCTTCGTCACATTGCCCTCTGCGATATGCAACAACAGCAAGCGTAGGATCACGCTTCTCACAGTATTTACCGACAACACGTGAATCGTAATACGGGTTGGTGGTGAGGAAGTGCTCTGGATTGTTGTTACTATCTATGATAATTTTACCCAAAGCATTGTGGACATGGACATCTTGACTTCCTTCACTCACAAGATGCTCTAAAAACTGGGTAAGTAACCGAAGTCGGTTCCTGGAAAGCCACAAGCAAATACCATAAGGATGCAAACTAATACAATTAACACAAAAAAAGAACAATTAGGTGAAGAGAGAACACACCTCTTTTCACACTCATCCACAAGGGGCTCAACTGGAAGCAGAGAACGAACAGATAGAATCAAGCCTTTGATGAAATCCTCAGGACACTCGTCATCTAAAAGCTGTCCTACAACTAAAGGAGCGTTCCCTGGGTTGACCTATACAAATATCCCATAAGCACTCAGATACACAAGATTTTGCAAACTCTTCTAGATGAACAACAATAATTCTCTACCACGGACCATACCTTCTGAACATAACCTTCAATATAACGGAGCATGTTGTTGGTATAGAGATAGTGAGTGAGATCCGGGACAAAGCCAAAACGGTCACACACATTGATCAATGGCCTTGCATCAGGAAGTTTGGCTTCCATTAGAAAATTTTTGGCCTTTTCAGCATCATAAAAATTCGACTCTCTTGTTACACGCTCAACCTCCTTAATTTGTCCTGTCTTTGCAGCTGCCTCAATGTACTTGAAGTGGATATCAGGATCCTCGCTGTGATATCGAACATTAGTTACTACTTGGTACAAATCAGATCCACGGTCAAAGTAAGATTTTTTGCGTATATGGGTGTCATTTCTAACCACATTACCTGGAGCTCAAATACGACCCCAAAAAGAAGTATAGGCCTTCATATGATTTAAATTGCTCAAAGAGTTTGATACATGCTTCAACACCCAGCTGCTCACAGTATTCTTTGGCAACCTACAGTTGATACAACAGTCAGCAGATTAGAAAATGGCGAGCACAGAGAGCTAACCAACTTCTGCTTCCCTCGGTTTGACTTCATATAACTGTTCACATAGAAATAAGAGCTCTTATATACCTGCACAATTATCTGAAGGTTTCCCCTTAGATTGACCAGTAAAAGATCCTTCATACACTCCAGTGCCCACTCCTTTGATAGTGTGCCAAAGAATTCTACGAGAGACTGAAATAAAAGAGAGTCAGATGCTAATTAAGATAAACCACACAATGTAATTACACAAGTCCAGTATTAGACAAACCTGTGGCTCAATTGCATGAGTGTTCACAATGACACGTTTAATATCTGGCAGTTCACTGTAATGCTGCAGAAAGCACGAAGTTTCAATCAAGCAGATGATATTTCTTCATAGAAAACAGACAAGTTTCAGCACAATAGCCAACCTGAAGGGCTCGAACGAAAAGACCTGCTTTCTCACAAAGTTGAGCAATGCGAGGACGGTCATAGTGACTGAACATACCATTGGCTAATATGGCATCAGCAACATTAGGGAATGTCACAAGGTTGATTTCAAGAACCTGTAAAGAATAGAAATTTTGAGAATGATTCTTCAGTTCAATGCTGAAGTTCAATAGCATCAATGGCATGTAAGGTGTACCTTAGTTTGCAGGTGAGCATGTTCTGGCTGATTGGGCTTAAGGACATCCAAAAGAAAAGCAGTAGCCTCCCGTATCAAATTCCTCTGAAGATATTGAAAGGGGAAAAGTAGCATTTAAAAACCAATTTGAACTATAGGATCAGTATAACTGCATGCTTGCGGAAGTCAGAGGCTTTGAAATCATAGAACCAGTTAAAATAATTAGCAAATGTGAACATGTTGTGTATATATATATAGTTAAAATACCTGGAGGAAAAGATCTGTTATTGTATTGTAATCAACTGGACAACCTCCCTCCATTTGGGACATCATTAAAGCAAAATTAACAGCACCCTGCAGAGAGCAACAAATCATACTTGCAGGAATCCCAATTGCGATTCTTAATCATTAAGAAAGACATTCTGAGCAAATAAAATAACATGTAAATTTGTTTTTTACTGGTACCTGAGGATCTGATCGAAGAATTGTTTGCAGAAGAAATAAATAATCAGGTGTATACCCAACCTGCGCCAGATCAGGAGTGGTTATAGGACAATTCATGGCAATAAAAAATGTTCTGAAACTATACTAGCAGAGAAGCATATCACTTGGAATAAGTTTCTACTAGAACACCAATAGTTACTGAAATGAAAGTTACACCTACCTGCTTGGAGTAGATCAGAATTTTGTCGAACTCCCTCCGCTCAGCAAAAGCTGCAACAACTTTTGGTGTTGCTCTTGCTTTAATGTAAATTTTCAATGCAAGATCATTGTCCACAGTCTACAGGTAAACAGGGAACCCAAGGTTTATACGTGGAAGATATATCATAACCAAAACAAGAACAATTGGTGGACGTAAACAACTGGAAAGCATCAAAATTTTCAGATTCCATACTTTCACAAGATCTCCAAGCTCCTCACTACATTCCAGCTTATCCTCAGCCAACCAGTTTTCCAAAAGATTCTTCTTGTTCTGATTCACAACAAGACGAGATAACTCCAAGGATTCAAATGCATTCAGCTTTCCTTTAGTTAGAAGGGTCCCAAAGTACTGCAGCAATGGTGGTGTTTGTCCAGCTTGCACAGGTACACTCTGTAACGACACATATAGAGGTTATAGAAAGTTGAAATGAAAGAATTCTCTAATCAGGAGTAAACCCTGCAAATGTAACATCCAGAGAAGTAAAATTCAGTGATGCTATTAAAATTTATAAAAGCAAGACACCTGAAATTTTGCAACTGTATCTGGTGTACGGAGAATGCCTTGAGGAGATTCTGCAGCAAGCTCAGCAGCTTCCTTGTACTTGGTTTGAGCAAACAATTCTTGAAATCGTTGGACAACCTGGGATAAAAGTAGAAGTCAATCAGTCTATCATTGTCCAATGGAAAGAACATCGCCATTTACCAACAGGCAAGTATTGATCAAGTTCGGCAATCCTTGATCTAATCTTTTTCCAGTGTCTGAATTGATTACTATCCAATGAACTTATAAACAAATGGAACTCTTCCACTTCTATTTAAAACATTATCATGTCTAGTCAGTAATCATAGAAAAAGAATGCTTCATAACATACATGATTGATGAACTCTTCCACTTCTATACAGGTCTGGCTGGCCAGTTGTTTGTGACTGGTTCCAGGCAGAAAGTAAAGATTTTATATCGTCAACGGAAATGTTAGTAGAGGCATGTGCCACTTGAATCTCCCAGCCTAAAATAAAGTCTCAAGATGCCTTACTATGTGTGTCCTTGCTACACGTGTAGGCCATTCCCTATTAAACAACTGATCTTATATCTCCCAGCTTCATTACTTCAGCAACAACCACACTTGTACTAAGACATGGTTCTGTCATCTCTGATAAATCATAAACGCTAAAGTCGGCTTCAATAACTTATTCCACCTATTGATCTAAGCAAAATTCTCCATATCCACTACATCTCCAAAGAAAGATGCATTACTGCCAGCAACCTAAACTCTACTCTGAGGTAGACTCCAACAAAAAATGTGTTGTCCTCCACATCCAAAGAAATGGTCTTTAGATAAAAGTGTGTGCCATTAAGACTCTGGCGGTTAGCATTCTATAATCTCTATTGGGTTTCATCACTTTACAGTTTCTATTGGCTTTCTGTCAGCTTCAAACATTTGTAGCATTGGGGATAACCAATACCATTATGATCAACCACCACTAGCCTCATGAAGCCACTACACAATCCGGAGATGAGGTAGTACTTTATTTCCTTAGCAAAAGAGTAGCCAACTCAATGGGACTGAAATCCAACATGGTGTGTTCTAATGTTTATGTTAATGCTCCAAATAGATTTAATATGACAAAAATGTCACATTTTCGCCCTAGCTGTTTTGGTTCGTGAAATTGCTGAACCAAGGGCCATGGCTCTTTTTTTTCGATAGCCGTACTGGATGCTGCAACTACCAGGGGTGGGATAGCTTAATTGAAATATTCTTTTATAACCAAGTGAGCAGCGTACAATATCATAATTTTACCGTCTCTGAACTATTGACAGAAATAGAAAGATAAAACCACTTATGCTAGTATATCTTTTCAATCTACCTCCAAAGTTGGTTAAAGAAACAGAGAGACGATGAAAGACAAGAAGAATAGAGAGATTTACCAGATTCTCTGCACCAGGAAGGTTTCCTCTTTTAGCAAGATTGACAGCAAGCTCCAGGTTGTTTAACTGCAATAACACATTGGTTTTCATATTCCAAATAAAGAAAATCCTATATTTATCATGGATGGAAGGTTGTTAAATATTACTTGTCCACTGACGAAAGGCACGATTGTTGACTCATTTACAGTGGCAAGTAACACCTGGCCACGTCTATTGACAGCATAGAAGCCTCCAACGGATGAAGCTTCAGAGGTAAGGAAAATTGGATCTGGACTGATTCTATTCCTATACACCGCGGTAGCTGTTTCAAGGTCATACACAAATAGAAGTCCCAGCTTGGTAATTACATAGATCAAACTATATTTGTGGGATATCTGTAAAGTCAAAAATGAATATGTTAGCTGACAATCCAGCTCCCTGTTTCAACAACAAAAATGACAGACAAAGTACCTGCATGGCAACTGGAAAATCATCTGCAAAGTCAGGAGGGAAGAAAAGATCTGCTTGTTTCTTAGTAAACGAGGGTTTCCCTGCATATATAGAAACACAATTTAATAGGTAGATGCAAAAGGCTTTTGACCAGCTAGTGAACCTGATTGATGCATCTCTTCAAAAATATGTTAATTTAAACCAACAGACCCCAAGCAAAGAAGTTCACATATGCAGAGATGTCACACACATAGCATGTTTAGAGGTTGACAACAGCAAAAGTTCTTCGGAACCTTCGACCTTTTTTTGTAAAATGAAAGGTTCCAACCTGATTGATGCATCCCGTTCAATGGTGGGCAAGAAACATAAATCTATCAAAATATTGTATTCAAGAATTTTCATTCTCTTTTTCCAGGATTAGGCAATTAGCATATAAATTACAGATACCAGCTAAAAAAATTATGTCAGCTAAAAGCAACGACAAACAAATGAAATGACATGTGTTGAGAATGAAACCTGGCTGAGCACCCAGCTCAATTACATGAAGCTTTGATGTAACCTGTCCAGCATTAGAGCTTTTTGTTGCAAAAGAAATAAGAATCGAAGGATTCTCATTGCCAGGAACCTGTTCAAGGCATATAAATATGTGATCACGTGCAGCTGTCTTAGATGGAAGGATATAGAAAAGAAAACAGCCCCTTTTATCTATAGTATTAACAGAAGGGGGAACATCTGTACTTTGAAAGAGGCAAAGGATGCTGCATGTGCTTCAAGAGCTTGACTGCGCTGCTGATCAACAGAAAAAAGCTGCATGTTTCCTTTTACTAGCTGAGGTTTCTGTTGAGATAAAAAATGGTGGGGAGATTACTAAAACTGGAAAATTTGGCCAACACTTTACCATAGATTGTGCTATATGATATACTAACAAATTGAAAACTTAGAACAGGCAGATAAGCTTGGAAGGGAGGATACATCGTAAGGTTGCATAATTACTGAATATGATGGCAAGCACAACAACTATCTATTACTTGTGAGCAACCCATTCTGAAGAATGTGCTCCTGTATGTTAGCAATCACATAAAGAACAATATTGACTAAGATAACAAATTAGAGTAACCCTGTTACTGTTCCCACAAAAATGAGCAAGAAAATAAAAGGGAAAGGGGATGTGAAATGACACCACGGATTAAGGCACAGCATCCACATAAGAGTACAGCATGAGCTCAAATTACAGCCAATCTAATGGCAACTTTTATCTCAAAGATAAAGAGACCTAGCATAAGGAAAAAAAACTAATAGATGCATGCAATCAAAGAATAACAACGAACCTCTGGTGAGCCAGGGGCAATTCCAATCAACACCAACCATTTCTCAGATGGATCACATCTGTAGTTAATTATCTGATTGTTTGATAAATTGGCTGTTCTATCAAACATCTTTGCAGGTTCAGAGTCACCTGTACAGAAAAGATTGCACCGGGTTCACATAATACAACATTTAGCTTACATGCCAAAAGGAGAGAAAAAGTGAGGCGGTGTTGTTCCAGGTTAAGTGACAACAATGTACCCTCGATTGACCAATGATATACTGAGGTCTGGGTTACCATGCCCAACATCTTTGGAGTAATCCACTTCCAAAAGACAACCTGAAGACAGAAGTATGACAAGACCATATAAACGTAACAATTAGCAAAAAAACAAAAAGGCCGAAAACCATTAAAATTATCAAATCATTGCTGCTACCTGCTCAGGCATCTGATAGGACTTCATCTTGGCTTTCATCTCAATATTAAATATCTGTAAGTGGTCCTGAGTAGTCCCTGGCAGTTGAGCTTGAAGAAAATTACACCATGCATTAGTTATAAAAGTGAAAAACAGGTCTGGGTGTTTCTCTAAGAACCTTCATATCAATTCTGCGATTTGTTGGTATGTTATGCTATAAAATTGTACTTTCTTATTGAGTTCACATAGTGAATAGAGAAAATAACAAAAGGCTGGTTTATTCCAAGCCTTGTAACACCATGACTTGCATTAGGAAGTTTTCAAATCCTGCAACTTCTTGGTCCGTTTCAGACTAAACAACAGGGTGCAAGTATGTGGACCTTGATGCTCCCAGGGTATAAATCAATAGCTTAAGAGATGCCAAGTTCTATAAAAGCATGAACAAGATTACAAGAGCAATGAGCACCGAATTGGAGATTAACTTTATCAGAAGCTCGGAAATCTGAAAGTACTCTTGCCATTATAGTGGGGGCTAAAAATTCTAAAGATCTAATTCGTGATGCGAAGAAAGGGTGATCTTATTTATACCAAAAGGTCCAACACAGATCACATAATGAATTGTACCCAATCATCTGACAAAAATAGCCAAAATTTTCGATTTGGGTTGTCCAGAATTAAATGCAACACTTCACTTTTAGAGAGCTTTATAGTAAAAACTGCCTAGTTGTCCCCAAGTCATAATTCCAAACATCTTAGTGGTAATTAATTTTGGTCAACAATAGAACTTTTTAGTAAAAACTACTCAGTTGTCCCCAAGTCATAATTCCAAACATCTTAGTGGTAATTAATTTTGGTCAACAATACTTGCATTAAATTGAGACCTGAAATTTGGTTTCAGAAATTCTCTGTTTTGTCATCATAGACGAGTACTTTAGGATTTATTAAATAGTCAAGCAATATCACTATGCATCCAAAGTCAATTGTTATAATTTCCATAAGACCGACGTAGTACCTTTTAAAGCCAGTATCCTGGAAACAGGATTCATAAGAGCTGAATCGGCGGTAATTGGCCTCCTCAGAGGCTGCATAGGCATGCTCATATCGATAATCACCACACTATTCTGAGGTGATGTTTCACGGACGCAAATGTACTTATCCGACTCCATTGTGACATTGGTAAACGTGATAAACTGTGGATTGATGCCTACGCTGGGCAACTGCAACAACATCACATAAGTCAAACCAACAACAATCAATGCACTCACAACCAATGAATTAAGAATCATATCAATCAATTTATCCCACGGATCTGAAAATATCAATTAAAAACAAATCTGCTTATCAAACAAATCTAAGCAATACGAGAGTAGATAAGCTAGCAAAGATGAACACTTCAAATCAAATTAACACCAATAGAAACCCTACAGTGTAACTAAAACGATAAAATTGCGTAAATTGAGCAACGTTTCTGTTACCAAAGTGGAAACCTATTTCTTATAAGATATAATTAGGCTTCGGAGAAATACAGTAAACAGATACCCTCGAATCTAACAAATCTACACAATATGAGTGTAAAGACGCTCCGAATTCTATTTCGGCATTTCAATTAACCCTGGATAACTCAAAAATGTTACGAAAACGATAAAATCGTGTAAATTTGAGCTAGGTTGTAGCCAATATAAGTGTGATCTGTTCATCTATGAGCCTATAATAAAACTAGGTTTCCGGACTGATTAACATACCGTGAGTGCCTCCTTCATAGTAATCGGAGCGTTAGCGGCCGCCATGGTGGTGCCGGAAAAGATCAAAACGACTGCAGATCAGATGTAGATATGATCTATGAGAGACTTGATTGGATTGACCCGCCGGCTGAGAGATTCCGGCCTACAGAATAAACAAACGGTCGGCGATCTCTCAGAGGTGAGAGATCTAGAGAGAAAGAGGGAGAGAGAGTATGTGTAGTCTGGTTCGTCTCAAAGGCGAAGACTTGAAAAAACACCAAGGAAGAAGAATTCGAAATAAAAATAGAGCGGAGAGAGAGAGAGTGTGTGTGTGAAGGTGGAGGATGAAAATGAAAATTCCATTTTTTCTTCCTTTTGTTTATAAATTCAAAAAACACCCTTGTATTATGTTCAACTTACAAAATAACCCCCAAACTTTTGGCCTTTGTTATGGAATATCTGTAACATAATAAGGGGATGTTTGGGATTGCTTATTTGAAACAACTTATATTTTTTTATAAAAACATTTATTAACTTATTATAAGTCAGAATGGTTTAACTTTTTCAAAAACTCTTTTATTACCGGTTTAGCACCGGTATAAGTTATTTATCCAAAGACTCAAAAGTGTTTATTATCGATGTCACATCAAAATAAGTTAATGAGTTATTTTTATAAGCAATCCCAAACATCTCATTTCAGGTTTTTTTTCAAATTCCATCATGAATTTGGACTATATTCAAAAAATTGAATCAAGAACCAAATCATGTGGGAAGGTTTTGGTTTCAAATTGAATCTAATTTTAAACCGAGTCATAAACCAAATCTCTTTGTTGATGGACTATTACGAAAAGTAATGGTTTTAGCTTTGGTTTTGATTTTACTAGAAAAACTAAACTAAGGGGCCATTTATCCAAATACTTATCCGGTAAGTACTTATCGGTAAGAGTCAATACTATAATCTATTTTACCAGATAATATTGTAGTATATTAAAACGGTATCGTATGCAACAATTTACCCGGTAAACGCTTACCCGGGTAAGAGTCATCACCATCACTTACCAGGTAAGACTCTCTATCCTTATTATCGCTCTTACCGGGTAAGATTTTCAGCCCTTACCATATGTATCAGGTGAGGAAAGTTACTCGGTCAACATTTACAGGGTAAATATTTAGTAAACGGCCCCTGAATCAATATTTTTTTTTTTGAGAAAATAAATGACAAAAAGAATTGAACTTAAATAAGTGTTTGATTTGTAGAATTCGTTTTAATGGAATTAAATATATCAATGTAATTTGAATCTAATGGAATTGGAATCAAATTTAAATAAATTTAACGATGTATTTTGTGTGCGGGAATTAGAATTGAATCTTTCAAATAGATTAAAATTTGTCTATTTGATTTACATAATGTTACCTTCGAAATTGAAATGAAATAATGATAACTTCCAAAAATACCCTTTTATGTTTTATTTGGGTGTGATGATGGTGGTTGATGACGGGTCGCGGTGGTAGGTGGTGGTGGTGTTAACCGATGTGGATAGGCGGAGGTAGTAGAGCTGGTTGGTGGTGGTAAGGTAAAATATTTTTATTTTCTATGTAATTGAAAATTGAAATCCTTGGTACATAAAGAAAAATGATGGATTCATTAATTTATGGATTTTAAATACATCTATTTTTTTTTTTTATTAACCTGGATATCCAACCTGTTATGCGAGCCGACTAATTCCAGGACGACCACCAGCTTTGCAGATAGCCCGGAGTCCCCACATTTGAACCTTCATGGCTACAAGGGGATTTTTATTCCTCCGTGAATTTAAACTTGAGACCTCCTGATACTTTTGACCTTTGGAGCCAAACTCAAACCATCAGACACCACTCTTGTTGTTAACATCTAATACATTTCATTCCACCACTTAAGTGAACCGGATGATGAGATTTCTAATTATATCAAATACTGTCATGTCTAATTTGATTCGATATATTGGTTTCATGGAACCCCACCTTCCACAATCGAACCCATCACCAATTAACATAGAGAAGAGACCATTTATATGGTGACTAACCCATCACCAATTAACCTCGAGATCTTCTTGTATATGATTGACTAATATATCAACATGTTAAGGGGGTGTTTGAGATTACTTATTTGAAACAACTTGTGCTTTTTTACAATAGCACTTATCAACTTATTATAAGTCAGAAGGGTTTAACTTATTCAAAAACTTCTTATTACCTGTTTAGCATCGGTATAAGTTGTTTATCCAAACACTCAAAAGTGCTTATTACCGATGTCACACCAGAATAAGTCAATAAGTTGTTTTTATAAGCAATCACAAATACTCCCTAAGTATAAAAATATGTAATATTAAGAAGCTTAGGTGCCGTTTACAAACGCTTACTCGGATAAGCACTTACCAAGTTATATTACCTCATCGGATGAATATGGTAAGGACCAAGAATCTTACCCGTTAAAAGCGAGACAAGGACCAAGAGTCTTACCCAGTAAGTGAGGGCAATGACTCTTACCATGGTAAGCACTTACTGGGTAAATTATTGCATGCGATGTCGGTTTTTTGTGGACTAAAATCTTACCCAGTAAGTATATAATAGTGTTAAATTTTATTGGTAAACACTTACCGGATAGGTATTTGATAAACGGACCCTTAATTTATCATGGTAACTAATGTATCTACAACTATTTTCCCACTATATAATATATATCTCTATAAAAAGATTCATCCAAAACATTATATTTACACAAATTAACGATTCTTAATAAATGATTGATACATAAATAACGTAAAAAGGTTATCATACATCACTTTTGCATTCTAAAATATTTTACTCTAAAAAAAGCAATTTCTACATTTTTTTATATATTAATTCATTTAAAATAAGACAAGATATGATGGTCGAAGAAGTTTTCATATTTTATTGAGAATAGTCTAAAAAAACAAACTTTCTTATTTTGAATGATTTAGTTCTAAAATTAATTTTTTTAATGAAAAAATAATTAAACTTTCTCATTTTAATTAATTAAATCTCTGAACTATTTTTTTTTAAATGAAAAAATCATTGAACTTTCATATTTTGAATGATAAAAGATTCTGAATATTTTAAAATAAATAAATAAATCATCGACTTTTACTAGTCGGTTAATGTAACTTTTGTGATGTTAAAAGAAATGTAGGTAACCAATTTCTAAAAGTCTGATGGTTTATTTATTAAAAATATGTTCAAGAACTTAATCAATCAAAATGAAAAAGTTTAATGATTTTTTTTATTAAAAAAATGTTTAATGGTTTTTTTTTCATTCAAAATAATAGTCAGAAACTTAATCATTCAAAATGAAAAAGTTTAAAGGTTTTTTTCACTCAAAAAAATAGTTTAGGGACTAAATCATTTTAAATGAAAAAGTTTGTTGGATTTTTTTAAACTTTTCTCTACTTTATTTTATTTTTTAGTGAATAAACCGTCTAAAATTTAATTTTTAACATCGAGAAATTAAAATCTTGAATTTCGAGAGTCAACAATAGAGATGGAAATTTTACCCGTTGAGGTGGGTACCCAACCCTAACGATGCGAGGATTCCACGGGTACCGGGGCGGAGATGGGGATCTAATTTCATACCCGAAGCAGGGTCGGGGATGTCATTAAACACATTGTTTTTTATTAAACAGGTTCTCCGAACCCGTCAGGGATTACTCGAGTCGGGGACAAGGGGTTAAACAAGGGTCAAGATCGAGAACAAAAGATGTATTACTCGTCCCATACCTGCCCCATTCCCATACCTAGTCAACAACGTTGAAAAGTTTGTTCCAGCTTAGTTGGAGACTTGGATCTAGAGTTTGTATTTCATTCTTGAAAAGGACAACTACATATTTTCCCCAATTACGTACAAATTTCTTTGAGACCCTTTGTAATTAGTTGCTTTAGAAAAATAAATAAAAGTCAAAAGGAAAAGTTTAAACTTACATTAAGGCCCTTCATCTTTAAGTGAATGAATTATAAAGCCATCAACATTAAATTTTATAACGTTCAAGGTCAAGTGTCGTTACATTCATTAACCATCATATTTCATTTTAACATTATAAACATGTGTACGTTATTTTAAAAACGTTCAATTTTTTTTTATTAAACCAAGTTTGTTTGTCACATACTTGTCAAGTACGCTTGTTTTTTTATGTTATTAATTAATATATTTGTCGTTTAATTTTTTTGGTCAATTCTATAATGACAATATTGAGTGCAAAATTATGGATCGTTTACTAAACGCTTAACACATATCTATACTACATTAATAAGCATTTAGACAAAAGTTTTAATTACAAGTCTCAGAACATAAAGTACTATCAATTTATGCAAGAGATTCAAAAATCTCTTAAGTACAAACTATTATGCATAATGTACAAATGCTTAAAACATACCATTTGTTTGGTCAAAGTTTCATATTTAAGTAAGTCATATTTACATGAAAAAAATATGTTTGTTCTTCCCAAAGTTGTTTGACACTTTATTTATTTTCTATTTTGAATCCAAATTCAAATTCAAAGTTCTTCTTTCTCTTGAAGTAAACTGAAATTTGAAGCAATAATACCAGAAAGGGTTTCAGATCATGCATGTACCCCACCCCAACCCTTCAACTTTGTATGGGTTTAGAAACTCAACATGTATGCAATTATTTTTTCAATCGATATTGCTAATACACCATATTAACCTTCAACTTTATATATTAGATGGCTTGTAAAATAACCACACAAACTCATGATTCAAGGCTAAACTAATGTTTCAGAATTTTGATTCACCTGCGCTGTATTGCGTGGGTACACCACTAGTCTAAAAATAAACTATATATACATTTAATCGGAATTATCATACTTTTCCATAAATGATCGATAAATGTATTTCGAAGTGTATATAGAGCTTTTCTTTATCATTATTTTTCCATATCGATAATTTTTTTGGGGGGGAATTTGTCATAATCATTTGTCTCTTTAAACGTCGATGGTACTTTTACAACTTCCATAGGGACATCGAGATCACATTCATGAGCAGGTGTCATGCTATGTAAAATAATACACAAGTCATTATCATACAATACTCTTTTTTTTTCTTTTAAATTTTGGTCGATACTGTTACAATTGCAATTATTTATGTTTTTATTCCAGTGGTCATTATGTATTTCTTCCTCTTTATTTTGTAATATTTTCACATAAAAATTGTTGAAATTGTCCAC